GTGAATCAAAACTTGAGATAGGGACATGTGAGCCGTTTCGACCGGTAATGATTAGTTTCATCCCTGTAATCTTTTTCGATAGACCCCAAGTGTAATACATCTAGCTCTTCAGGAAGAATAAAAAAATTGGATAAAATACAGGGTGTTCCGTTTGAAATATCCATGTTGCTACTACTTCCTAATAGAAGCGGCAACACTGCATTGTTTTCGAGTACACCTAACATTGTTTATCTTTCAAGTGATTTCTGGAAGAGAGACCTATGACTCTCAACGAACTTATTTTGGAAGTGGCTGAGAACTTGGATAATAATGATGACCTAATTCCAGCTGAAATTATCATTTTTCCACCAAATAATAATGACGTTACAGATGACAGTGGAGATATGAGAGTAACGTGGAAATAAGTAACCTACCTGGAGGACACAGCTTTATTAGAGCTGACGCTGAGGTGAATTTTGACAATATTGACTCTGATAGGGAATCCGATAGTGAAGATATGATCTTCCATTGTCTCGTTTAGTGAAGAGAAAAAAAATCTTCAAACCAGCGAAAGATAAAAATGAATTTTCATGAACCAAAAATGACATCACGTCTGATTTACCTGCTTGGGATGCAGTTTGTGGACCAAAACAACAACAGTCGCCTGTGGACATGTTTTTTCATTTTTTGATGATGAAGTGATGAACTTGCTGGTCACTCACACTAATTTGTACGCCAGTAGTCAAAATCGTGATGCTGATGTAACAACTGATGAAATGCTTTGTTTTATTGGGAAACTATTACTGAGTGGTTACAATTGTCTTCCACGACGAGAAATGTATTGGGAAAACTCGCCTGATACTAACAATACGTTGCTCTGTAACGCAATGACAAGAAACAGATTTCGTCACATAATGCAAAATCTACATTGTTGCGACAATGCAAATCTTGCTGCTGATGAAAGGTTTGCGAAACTAATAAGAATAAGTTCATGGATATGGCTCCACCAGCCGAGCATCACAGTGTAGACGAGTCCGGCGTGGTGCCCTACTATGGAAGACATCCAACGAAACAATTCATTCGAGGGAAACCCATTCGCTGGGGGTATAAAATATGGACTGGAACTAACCGACTAGGATATGTTGAGTGGTTCGAGCCATACCAAGGCTCAAACACTAAACTGTCAGATGAATATAAGGCTCTTGGATTAGGTGCAAGTGTTGTCCTTGAGTTTGTAGATGCTTTGAAGGCTTCTGAAACTAATATGAATTACCATATTTTTTTTGACAATCTATTTACTTCTTTGCCACTGCTCTCTGAATTGAAATCTAGAGGCGTGAAGGGTACTGGAACTATACGAGAAAATCGATTACCAAGGAGTTGCCAAATTATGTCCTCGAATGAAATGAAGAAACAGCAGCCTCGAGGAAATTTTGATTATGCTTCAACAGTAGATAGTGAGATAATCGTGTGTAAGTGGAATAACAACAGTATTATGAACGTCGCTTCAAACCATGCAACTGTTTTTCCAACTATCTAGGTCAAACGATTCTCCAAGAATAAAGATAAGAAAATTATTCTGGTCCCACAGCCACACATAATAAAACTATGTAGGTAATGAAAAAATGAGAGGAGTTGATCGAGCAGATCAAAATATTAGCTCATATTGTAGATGTGCCATTCGAGGCAAAAAGTGGTATTTTCCTCTCTTGAGTCACTTTGTTGATATGGCAAAACAAAAATCAAGGCGTCTTCATAAATTTGGATTTGTAATACGAGATCATCTCAGTTTCAAACGTTTCATTGTCGTAGGATTATTATAGATTCCTTCAAGAAGAACTTCTAAACTTCCAAAAAAGGCTCATCCCTTCTCCAAGTACGATGGAGTAGATCACCTTGTTTTGTTTACCAAGACAAGCAAACTCGCTGTATTTTCTTTCATAAAAAGAGCAATTTTTTGTAAAAAAATGTTCAGTAGCTTTACATCCCAAGGATTGTTTTCAGCAATTCCACACGAAAAACTAGTTTGATAAGATTTCTATTTTTGAGAGGCGTAGACGAGATAAAAAATAGTCGGGATGACCAAAGTATTTCGCGCTCGAGTTGCAAACAACATTTTTTGTACAAACATCAAAAAATATAGTTCTAAAGTAAAACTATGCTTAGCTTGATATGAAAAATAGTGTTCAACTGCCTTAAAAGGCTTCCTCCTATCCTCCCTAGGTACGCACGATGAAAATTCAAAAATAAATGATTTCGAGGATATTTGCTCGATTGAGGACCATAAAGTTTAAATATAAATATCTCATATATTTTACATAACAATGCGCGAAGTATGTACCTACTTCACGCACTGTTTTACTCCGCGCATTGTTTCGTGCAAGGAATGATGGAAGTAAGATATATGGTGTAATTACTGATGCGCTTTTGTTTCAGAAATTTTACTCGACCTCTCGAGAACAGCGAGAGCAATGGTTCCGTCGATCTTCTAATAGATGGCGACATTGCACAATCATGACATCTGGGGCCTGATTCTCGAATCTGTTGGAATTCGTTCCCATGGGAAAAACTCGATATTTCCCATGGAAATTTGAGATGATGTATTCTTGAAATATTGTATGGGAAACTATTCCTACACATTTCAAGGGAACTGCTTCCCATGGTAATACCCACGGGAACAACATGTTTCCCATAGGATACAATCATGAAATACGAAGTTATTTTCATTTTTGATGGGAACTAAACCTTAGTGAGAAATCAGAAAAACATATGTATTGCAAAACATGGCAAAAATAGATGAAAAAGATCATCTATAGAGGCTTCACAAAATTTGGAAGTGGCTGGAATCCTTGCTAGAAGACTGAGAAGAAGGTTTCTGCGTAGATGGGACCAATTGATAAGTGTTTGTCTACTGCACAATTTATTAAAGTTTTTCGTTTGTCCAAAGACATTACTAGAAAATTGAATTAGAATTTTTGTAAGTGAGGGTAACATTTCCCGTTCCTCGAGTCCTCAGAGGCCTCCATTATTTCAATTAAAAGTCTTGGCTGCTCTTTGCTAATACTAACACCACGTGGGTTTTTAATTGTGTTTGTATCCATATCCATTTCGATCAGAAGAAATAAAGTAAATATACAATACACAATAATCTCACAGTCGCAAAATTATATTATTCTATAACCTCAAAATTAGTCAAAATCAAAATGTCAACATTTCATTTCAATCATCCACTAGTTACCAACATGAATTCCACTTATTTCATTGGTTAATTCATCTAAGTTCAAGAATCTATCTGCGACATACGGCACTTTTTCAATACCCTGGGAAAAACGATTCCATCTGGTTCAAGAATAGGTGTCATGACAAATTATCATTTCCTATGAGAACTGAAAGCATTGGATAATTCTCCTATAGGATCGAATTCCTACAGATTCGAGAATCGGGCCCCTGTTAGTTTTGAAATTGTCGCAGATTTTCCGAATCTAGAGTTGGATAATCCCACTGTTACATATACATGTTACATATGTTCCGCGTACCTAAAATGCCATTTGCCATTTCATTTCCACTCGTCTCAGCAGCAATAGAAGCATCACCATCTAGCGGGGAAATGTAGAATTAACGTCTCGCTCGTTGTGACGTAGAGAAATCATAGTAGGCGGTCGATTGATTTTTCTGAAATTATCAATACGTAATAATGGCCGAATTCGCGCACCATATCTTACTTCCATCATCGTGCAAGGTATCATGGTGACGTAGGAAACTGAAAAAAAGTGTCACTTCGCAATTTGTTATCAATGCGCGAATCTTGTCATTTTTTGACATTTGTAGAAGAATTGAATTTTTATATCATGTATCAAGTATAGAGTTAAATATACTTACTTACCTACTGATATATCGATGCTGGTTAATTTTCGATATTGAAAAAAATATGTGCTAGATGATAGCAGAGCCCCATTTTGCCACTGTCCTTTTCAAAGGACACCTATAATTCCTCTCGAGTGACTTATGGGAGGGAGAATTTGATAATTTCCTGTTTTTTTTCCATGGCTTTTCAAGCTTCTCGCATCGTTTTTTTTTTCTTTCTAAAAGCAATGAAATTATTATACGCCAAATCATACTTGTGTTTTGATTTTTCTGGAAGCAATCCTTTTGCCGTTTCGATTGCTAATTCCTGGATTGATAATTTATTGTAATGAAGAAATCATAAAAAAAATTACGATGTATATAGGAGGAATTAAAATCATAACATTAGGGGTGCACAAAAAATCCTGCACGCATGCGCTCACCACCCTGAACGGCCTACAAGTGAAAGTATTAAAAAAACTGCAGTGAAGAAACATCAAGATAATTCAAAGGAAGGCAGGAATGCTTGCTTTGAAATATTTCACTCCACTTTGAGCAATATGGACATCTACCAAAGATTAGTAATTTAAGATAATTAATTTTCTCATTCATCAATATCCAAAAGTGGTCAGTGGCCTATACCTACTACTCCAAAATAGTTATATAAATTTTCATCAAAGAGAATGCAAAATGCGCCTATATCTTCCTGTATATTGATTGAATTAATATGACAAGTTTTTCATGCACATTCACGATAGTAAATTGCCCTACGTATTTCAGCCCAGTATATATAGGTACCTTTGGAGGATTTCGAAATGGGGATTCAAGAAAATATGGAAATGAAATAATGAAATTATTCTTCAATTCCCTCTCACGGCTCAATGTTGCATTTCTGTATAGAGCTACGTTGACTTTAATCGGCCTATTTCAGTCTCTAGTTCACCCTGTTGAATTTATGGTACGTTGTTCTGGGACACCCTGTAGAGGAATAATCCTCACCACACTGATTATTTGTTGCATTCAATCCATCATTCAATGAATTCAATTATATTTAGTTCATTGGTTGCATTGCACATAGATCTAAAGTGTGTATTTAGATCTGTGAACCAAGTCAGGTAGAATTGAATTCGAGATCGAGATTCGAGACTGACGTGCACAGAACTAAAGTTCGTGTGACAGTGACGGTGTGACGTGTGACGACTTTCGCAGTAGACGTATTTGTATTGTTGACATTGGTGACAACAAGAAAACAAGAAGTGACATTGTTGTTTTGTTTATGTTTACTTTGATAAAGGGAAAGTGCCTACAGAATTATTATAATCCATAAAATAATAATAATAATAATTTGCTATAATAATATACTAATCTATATTGTTGATAATTTTGTGGAGTTTAAGTAGGAGTTTAGGCATGATAAGGTGAGACCACCCTTTTTTCTATGAATGCCTGTTGTAATTTATTGAACTTACCTGAAATGTATTTGTTGTTTTAATAGGAAACACATTTTGTCTTCAACTTAAGTTTTCATCAGATCTTTGGTTTGTACAGGTCTGCACAATTTGTGCTCTGGAACAAATATTATACAGGGTGCCCCGAAATCAGTGTGATATATTTCAGCAATCTTATTCTACAAGTCTACAACTAGGTACTGATAATAATACTTAACACATACGACAATATTCAGTCGAATTAGAGTGGAGAGGTATCCCGACTTTCATCAGAACGTCAGGGAGGTTCGGGAAGAACAACTAGCAAAAGGATGTGTAGATGTGTGGAGAGTAGGGGTTGGCAACATATGCCCATGGGGGCCTACTTGCCTGGCTGTAGCCTCCCCACCATACTACTACTGAGAAAAAAAATTGCTTCTAGGGAGGTAATGAAAGGCTCTCTGAACTTCTTCTTCTTTTGTATTTCTTGGTTTTCTGACTATGTGGTGTCAATTTCACCAGATCAGTGGGTTTGTTTCCAGGTGCTTATATTATTCTTGGGATTTTTGGATTTATGGGTAAGGTTGTTTGTTAGTTCCCATTAGTACCAGTAGTTGTTATGATTAATGGAATATTAACTATGTATCCCTACAGTTATACCTCACAGTTTATCTACAACACCTACAAGTAAATGATAATTAAACTAAATGTGAATATTTTTCAACATTAAATAAAGAGTTAGAAGACATTATATACTTTGCTGGCTTTTCTCAATAAATTTTTTCATAATTTGAATTGAGATTACCTAGTATCATCACAGTATACACCCTGTATCATTTGATATGATATAGGAGGATTTAATCCCAATTTGAGGATATCAATATCATTATATAATCTGTCAATATTGTGCTTATTATTTTCACATTCTAATAGGAAGTGGTTGATATCCCCAAATTTCCCACATTCACACAAGTTAGACTACTGAATTTTAATCTTATTAAGATGAAACGGCAAAGAGCAATGTCCTATTCTTAATCTTACACTGGCTGTGAATGACCTGCGGGAAACCATTTGACATTCCTTGAACCACGGTTTTTCTTGAATTATTGGTTGTATCTCTTTTTCTACCTTTATTCATTGAAGAGAGGTCCCAAAAATTTTGAAATTTATTTCTAGTACCGTAAGACTTCGGACGGTTTTTCAGGTTTTTCCGTCGTAACATTTTTGAAATGAATCGAGAATGTACAAATGTCTCATAGATTATTGATTAATCATTTCTATTTCTCAATAGATTTACACATATACCGAATGCAAAATTAGTTTTTTTATATTTTCTTTTTTTTATTTTTTGCTGTCCGAACTTTCGGACACGCTTCAAAAACCCGTTAAAACGATGTTTAGAGTGCCTATAATTAACTTCGGACAGATTTTTTTTTTAATATTTCGAGGTAAAAACCATACTTAACTTCAAAATGAAAGCATATTTCACAACTTCAAAAACATATTTCGATGAAAATAACAAAAAAATTAATAATGATTTCTAAAAACTAAAAAAAACTCTAAAAAATAATAACAAAACAGTTCTCCTTGGTACATAAGAATAATTTGGCATAAGCTGTCGAGTAGCTGTCAAGTAGTATTCCGAACTATTCCAGCGTTATTTCCTTAGGCAAATTCGACGTAACGCGATAGGTTCGAGGATTTTGATTATCTCGTCCTTAGCTACAATACTTTCATCTACTACAGGTGGGTAATGAAAAAAAATTCTATCGTCAATCTTCTTTCGTCTTAAAAAATTCACTAGATAATTTTGAGAATCTCCATAATTATACTGTTGCATGACTTTACAGGCATAATATTTGAACTTGGAGGAATTCTCTAGAGGAATTTGCACAATCACAAATGAATTGACAGCAATAACCATTGCAGTTTCATCTGAGTCTTCCTCGTCAGTAGCAGCCTCAATTAGGTTTTCTCCTGCATCATGTCTAATGTTGTTGTTTTTGTATGATATTATCGGATGATCATCAGAATCAGAAGAATCATGAAGTTGATCTGGAGGAATATTTTCCTTTTGTTGGGAAAAATGTGAAACAGTCGAAGGCTGTCCAGCAGCAACATTTATTCTCTTCCTCCTTGTTTTGGGTCGGGCCTCTGGAGATCTTGTTTCTTTCAAGAAGTCTATGATGGTATTGGCCAATAATAAATATTCCCCATCTGGTGCAGGAGCATCTTCTCCTTGGTGAGGCAACCTCTTGAGGACTTCTTGAGGCTTCCAAGGATTTATCCCTGAAGCACGAAAGCCTGAAATGATGTTTTTCTTTGAAGAAGCATGTATGCGTTCTAGAGTCGTTCTCAGCAGAGTTGGAAAATCTGATTTTTTAAAAGGCCCCTTCCTTTTCTGTTTCCATTCTGTCAACACGTTTCTCCAACACTTCTTAAGAGGTGTGAAATATGATACGTCCAAAGGTTGACAGAGATGGGTAGAATTGGGAGGCAGGAGAATGAATCTGATATTGTTCTCCGCGCACTGATTAATGACATCAACAGTGATGTGGCTCGACAAATTATCACCTATCATGACCTTCCTTCCTGGTTTGTTCCTAAAGTAAGGAAGCGCGATCTTCCTGAACCATTCCACAAATGTGGAAGCTTCAAACCATCCCGATTTGCTTATACTATAGTGACACCCCAGTGGCCCATTTTCTTTCCACTCTTCATATCGGTGTTTTACTTTATACACCACGAAAGGTGGAAGCAGTTCTCCAGCAGCAGATGTCGCCATCATCACAGATATGCTAGTTTTAGATGAGTCTATGACTCTATCACAATGTTTCGCTCCTCTCTTCGAAATCACCTTGGGTCTGCCCGGGTCATCGCTAAAATTTGTTTCGTCGTAATTAATTATATTTTCAGGAACTACATCTATTAATTACGGCTGGACCCACCTCAGCCCTATTTCTTTTGATATTCTGAGTCGTCCTGATAGTTAAGGTCTTATGACGCGCCAAAAACTTTTTGGCCCAGTCCTTTCCGGGCAAGTTATCTTTGAACTTGCGAATGCGAACTCCCTTACGGTTGAGATAGTGCTGAATGATTTTTCTAATGTCTAACTCAGTTAATAGAAACCCCCCCAATCAGCACTCAGCAATATGGAGTCTGCTAAACTTTTTTCTTCTTCTTTAGAAATGAGTGGAGGAGCACCAGGTGTGCCCATATGTTTGTTTCTCAATTTATCAGCAATAGTTGATTTTGGCACATTGTAATAATCCTGCGCCTCTCTAATCGACTTTCTTCCATTTCTCACGTCGTTCAATGCTCGTAGCAGTCTTTCTGACGGATAATTCAAATAACTCCGACCACCAAGAACTTTCTTATAATTTCTCACCATGCCCCTTGAAATTATGAAATTCTAGTTATCACCCTGTATAAAAATCAGCTGATGAGATGGAGTGATCAAATTATGGCGAAATATTCTTGGAACTAGAGACTATCGAAATGTTCAGTTGAAATTGAGATACAGGCAACGTAATTTATCGCAGATCAGTTACTATTCCACATTTCTCAAAACGCCATATTCTGATGTCGCCATAAAAATTATTTAGTCTATGCAAGAATCGACCATCGACGTGCATGAACCATGATACTAAAACCACCGCAGTGTCCGAAGGCGAGTTTACTAAATATACTGCACGCTAGCACAAACCACGCCCACCATAATACGTCATATCTCCAAACATTACCGATATACTCGGAGTCAGCACATCGCACTAAATATACTGTGCTCGAACGCAAGAATACACTTTTTATGATTTTGACACGAATTCGACTGAAGCTCTCTCGTTGTCAATCTCTTGTACGCAGTAAATTCATACACCCAAATGGTCTACTGGTTAGCGCTGTCGACTTTCAGTCTGAAGGTCCATGGTTCGAATCGCTGTGAACTTGAACTTTTTTTGCAACTTTTTTTTTTTCACCAATGTTTTTTTACTTCATTCTGGTTTTCCTTTTTCATAAATTTGAAGTCAAATAGGTTAGTGCGTTTAGGATAAACAGTCTCATTTTATTCAATATTGTTGAAGAACTCAACTTTTAAAATATATTATTAATCAATGTGTTTCTACACTCCATTCGGTTTTCCTTCCTCAAAAATATTGCAATCAGGGATAGGTTAGTTCGTTGAGGATAAATAGTCTCTGAGTTTTGCCTAAGTAAAGTACTTTGAAGATGAGATATAACGGTGGGCGTGGTATGTGCTAGCGTACAGTATATTTAGTAAAATCGTTGTCCGAAGTCACCCCGTCTTACGGTACCTACTTTCTCTGATATGAGGAATCAGCCATATGGTTAATACTTGGTTAATTCTATATGGAATATTTGCGTTTTTTGCGATCTGATCTGCTTTTTCATTACCCTCTATATTCCTGTGTCCAGGGATCCAGGCTTACTTGATTGAAAAACTGTTTTTAAGATGTTCTGACCAAAAGTGTTTAATTTTCAAGAATAAGTTATTATTTATTTTTATATGATTGTTTTGCAGTCCCATTATAGAACTCTTGGAGTCTGAAAAAATAATATAGTTATCGGGCTCTTCAGCTATATAGATGAGTGCAAAATAAATTGCTGTTTATTCAGCAGTCAAGATTGATAATTTTGTGTGGATAATCCCCCCCTTTGACAAATCTTGATGGGGGATATATATCCCAAATGAAACTTTGTCCACTGTCTTAGACCCATCAGTATAGATATGCTTATAATTTGGTCATCTTTCATTACTTTTATGAATAAATGTTGTTCCAGATTTTGTTCGTATACTTCTACAGACTTCTTCCTTTTTCTCTATGCCAATGTCTTCCAAAATATCATATTTCTCGTAATAACTGTCTACAGGAAGTTCGTGAAGAGAATCCCCATTTCTATATATGGCGCATCGCCTATACGATATCTCAACAAAAATGGGACCAAAATGAGAGGTACTCTTTGAATCTATG